ATGATGCAAAGCGCCCTTATACCTCGTGATGCGCCCTTATACCTCGTACCTCCTCACTTCTCATTACTATGATGCAAAGCGCCCTTATACCTCGTACTACTGTAGTACTCCCCAAAGCCAAATTCTTCTTCGAGACGATCGACGAATCGTCGTCCGCGACCCGAAAACTGGCAAGCACCGCATGCATCGTAACTCGGTTCAAGTGTCGCCGGTGCGCGACATCCACCATCATCACCATCAGGAAATCGACTGGCTACCAAAACCTTGCCCAGCACGTGAACACTGCGCACCGAAATTTCTTCGCCACCGTGCTGACGACACAAGTCCGGACGAAGAGGTTGAAGGGAGTGACGATGTCGAGTTCGATGAGTTCGAATATTTATAAGTTTAAAAAGTAACATTTGTTTGAAAATATTCATCTTAAAAATATACTTCGAAGTATACATTTTCAGAAAAAACTTGGCGCACCCTGGGAATTGAACCCAGGGCCCATCCACCACCGCCTGATCGTGACATGCTACGCGCCAAGGCCTTGGCTTGTTACTTTGACCATCGTTTAGGTCAGAATTATCGAAAATATGGACAATAATTGTTCCGAGTCAAAAATATTAATGTTTTTCGGTTATTGAAATTTCAATAAAATTATGAATTGTTCTTCCGAACGACAATATATTGAAATTATATATTGACAAGCTAAAATTAATTTAAGTATATTTTTCCCCAGCCCTGTTCACGTCCGATTCATGCCATCGGGTGTTGGTCATAAGGCCGACGATAAATTTAAGGTATTTCGTGATTTCTCTACCCTTATTCCGATGATTACCATACCCGAAAATGTCACCCTAACCACTCTCACTACTTGACTTTTTCAACAGGCGTTTTGTCCATATGAAAACGTACAAAAGCAGGAACGGACAATCAAAAGCAGGGATGATCATCCCTGATTCAACTCAGGCGTCCCTGCTTTTGAGGTTGTGTTATCCTGAAACATTCACGTTGCAGCCAATCAGGAGTCGTATTTGCGTCCATACATCAAAAAGCATGGACGGAAAGACCAGCCCCTTAGCTTTGCAGTTTTAGTCTGTTTTTGACGCTTAGTCAAAAGGGTGCGCATGTAAGAGCATCTCCACCGCATCCCCAAATATGTCCCAACTCGATATTGGGACACCAGATGGGACAAAATCTTCCCCACCGGATGTCCCGAAAACCAAATTTGGGGTTGGGACATCCACTTTGTCCCGAAAATTGCACACTATTGGGATATCCCAACTAATTGTCCCAACAAATATACTACGATTTGTATGGAAAAAGCAAGTCCATTGGTGCAGTTTCCCAATATCGGCTTTGGACACAGCGACTGGCGGTAGGTATCGTGAACCACGTCTCGCCGTCGTCGGGCACGCGGACGATGTGGCTGAACGAGAGTCATCAGCATTCCTTGATACAGCGATATCTGGCCGATATCGATGCGGCAGTGATTGCCAGTGACTCTCGTTCCGACGCTGCGGCGGACGCGGGTTTGTCCAAGAGGCGCAACCGCATAACGCTATACGGTGGTCGCGCATATCGGACAAGAGTCCGCAGCAACAATTACACTCTATAACTTGGTGCGTGGGATTACAGAATCGCTGCGGTCAAGTAGGCTTGCTAGTACCGGCATCACCGACCTTGGGAAACTCAATAACGTTAGCAATGCGATGGTCACCATCCACATGCTATACCGCCGTAACCTCTGAAAAGTTAACTACCACTAGAGAGATGCAAGCACCGTTCATAACTCCATTCCAGAGCGAACTTGGCAGCCTCTCGATGTCATACCATGCACTTCCGGCTTCAGGTCAATTGGGAAGGGGACACCTACCAAAACGGAAGATTTTTTGGAGACATCCCAAAAACAGTGAACTGGCTCTATTATAGGGATGGGGACAAAAATATTTGGGGATGCGGTGGAGATGCTCTAATGCCTTGGTTCAGGGACACGATCATACTGTACAGTATAAGGCGAGGCGATGGTTTGAAGAAAGTGTCACACAGCGAGTGATACAGTAGTCGACGGTTGGTGCGCAGGTCGTGCGTGAAGTGAAGGACGCATTTGATTCGATACTAATCATCGTCCTGGCAAGTGTGCCACGAACGGCATTACGCTTCGCTGAAGTACCCACCTCCCAAACGATAGATGCTCATTGGTAAAGTTTTCATGGATATGAACCAATCAAATACTCGTATTCATTTCTTGGTATCTATCCTCGATCAGTTGAGTGATTGACTATGATAATGACCTGATTTCCAACATTGCTTCCGTACCTTGTTCTTTTTATACCATAGTCAGCTGCAGTTTAAACATTTTCAGCAAACGTATCAAAAAGACAATTCTGATACTATAACGTTACACACAGTTGTGTACGAGTGAGTACGTAGTACGCAAAAGAAACCCACGCTGCTTCCCCCCACACGAGCCCCCCAAACCTTGCACTCATTGTTGAATTTGCTTCATGAAGACCATTGCCATTCTCGCACTTGCCTCGACGGCTGCCGCCTTTGCCGCGGGGAATACCACTGCCTTGGTACAAGGTCCCGACAGAAAGCTCAGTACCGACGCCCAAGCCCAAGCGATCCAAAACGACGCGAATGTGAACCTCGAGTGCCATACGACCAACGACGGGTACATCCAGACGTTGAAAGCTGGTGAGTACTCGGCCAGCAAATTCCACAATTGTTTCCGCACGTCGGAGCAAATCTTCGAGTACGTGGATGCGTTGGTTGCGCAGAACCCAACTTTGTTGAAAAAAGAAAAGATTTCGAGCACCGTCCGAGGCAAGACTATCTACGCGTACAAACTGACCAGCGGCGCGTCCAAGCCCAGGTCGTTGTACTACCAAAGTCTGCTCCACGCCCGGGAATGGATCGCGGGGTCGTCCAACTTGTTTACGTTGTCTTCGATTCTGGACGACATTGCCAACAATAAACCCACGGCGGCGGACAAGTTCAACTTGTACTTTGTGCCGATCGTCAACATCGACGGGTACGAAATTTCGTGGACGAAGGGCAAGCGGTTGCAGCGCAAGAACGCCAACGAAGTCGACCTGAACCGTAACTGGCCGACTGACTTCAAAAATGCCGAACCCGTACCCCTCTGGTCCCAATCTTACCCTGGCCCGGGTGCGTTCAGCGAACCGGAAACTAAGGGTATTGGGGAGTGGCTCCATACCAAGAACTCTGAACTCGCCGGCTGGGTGGACATCCATTCCGTCGCGGGGTTGATCTTGTACCCTTATGGCGACTCCACGGAACTCATCGGCAAAGGCGAAGACGCCAAGTTTCAACGGCTCGGCCGCAACGTTGCCGACGCAACCGGTGGCGATTACATACCCCAAACGGCGGCTTCCCCCCCCCTTGGACCTTTGTTCGGGGCGTTGGACGACTACCTCTACCGCAAGTACAAGAAGCCCGTGTTGACCATCGAAGTGGCTGGTGCTGGTTTTAACCCCGATGTATCGACCATCCGTACCCGCGGCACGGAAATCTTCAAAGCGTTGACTCAATTCGCCGAAGAAGTCGAGAATTTCGACGTCAACAATACAGCCTGTTAAAGGGGTTCTGTGGGCCAACTTCTCACCACCTACTACCAGCGTAACAAGCCTAACAGTCCCTTCTCGTTGAATTCAACTTTTTTCAAAACCCTCATCCCCAGCTTCATCCAGCCGTCCGATATGTCAACCACTACCCATTCATCCTCTCGAATACACAACCCTCGCCATTGGCAGCGATCCTAAACAAATAAACAAAACCGCTCGTTCGCAACTCGTCAGCACGAAACCCCCGTCGTTTAACGTGTTAATCGAGTCAAATTACGGATTTACTAGACCTCTTGACCTCTAGCCTCCAGTCAGTCGCCAATTACAGGTGTACATTCCAAGTACACCCATGTGTTCTTGGATGGACTTTCATGACTGGTCAGACATCCGGATACTAATATACGACCGAGCGATTTTGCATCGATCGATTATGGGATTGGTCCCTCGATCATCTCGTGTACGGTTAATGATTTATCAGTCATTCACTATTTTCGGGAATCACTCGACGTTTTCCAATAACACTGATTGGTCACAAGAACATAGAACTTTGGGTGAACCTGAACAGAATTGAAGTCATGACTGTGGATGACTGTGACGGTGATATACTTTGGTGAAACACGAAATTGATCAAAACACGACAGTTGTGAAAATATTCCCTCACACTACCTCATTACGAATCGAAATAGACTCCTCAGACAACAACCACGTCGTTAATCTATTTTGCGAGTGGGGTTTTGCAACGTGGCAACTTGGTGGAATCAAAAATGGGTG